CCTTCAGTATCTCCCTTTTGAGAAACTCCCATCCGTCTTGAACTCTTTACTCTTTTTTTTTTACTCTTTTACTCTTTACCAATAATTTACTCTTATATTGGCTCACCACTCAACAGTTGTTTTCAGTAAAAATACAAATTAATGGGTCTGAGAGCAAATCAAGCCTGAGCTCTCACTAGACGTGAAGGTAACTAAATTGTGTCTGTCATACATTGGGTAAAGCATGGGATGAGATGATTCGACAGGAAAGACAATTGCTGTTGTGTGCCTTCAATTTGTATCCAACTTATTGTGACCCTAGTGTGAACTATCATGGGGTTGTTTCAGCAAGACTTTTTCTGTTGTCTTTGCCTTCCTCCAAGGCTGAAAGAGTATGACTTGATCAAGGTCACCCAGTGGGTTTCCACAGCAGAGCAGAGATTTGAATCATGGTCTCCAGAGTCATAGTCTAACACTTAAACCACTAAAATACATTGGTTTTCACTACAGAAAAGATGATAATGCTGAATAAAATGGAAGGCAGTAGGAAAAGAGGGAGACTCCATTATAGGTGAATAGACTGAATCAAGGAAGCCACAGTTGTCCTGAGTTTGCAAGACCTGCGGAGGACTGTTGTTGACTGAGGCTGTTCAGTCTCTCATTCATAGAGTTGCCATAAGGCATAGTCAGCTTGATGGCATACAACAACAACAAACTCTCAGAGATTAATCAATAGGTTTCAGACAACTGTGCTTATTTTTTTTTTCAAATATGCCAACAATACCTCCTCCTCTTCCTCCTCTATGAAAGTTGAATTTTATACTAGCAAATGTTGTACCAGCAAAACACAAATTGTATACCACCAAAGATAAGATGCCCATTAATAGGAAACCATCATTTCATGGTCCTGGCTGTTGACTGGAGGACTCCTAGGATGCTCCTTTTGTTGTAAAACTGCTTTCAAACGGTGAAACTGTCATGTACTAACCATACTATGCTTGCTTCTCTTTTTCCTTTCCTCTCCCCCTTTTCCCTTTGCCACCATTTGAAGTTCCACCCAATCTGACTGTTCCCCAAGAAAAGTCACCCTTGGTCACCAGGGAAGGAGATACTGTTGAACTGCAATGCCAGGTGACAGGGAAACCCAAGCCCATCATTCTCTGGTCCAGGGCAGACAAGGAGGTCCCTATGCCAGATGGATCCATGCAGATGGAGAGTTATGATGGGATCCTGAGGATTGTCAACGTCTCCCGGGAGATGACAGGAACTTACAAGTGTCAGACCAGCCAGTATAATGGATTTAATGTCAAGCCAAGAGAAGCCCTGGTCCAGCTCATTGTACAATGTAAGTCTAAATTCTTTCTTTCCCTTCTTTTAGCAATGGGTTGAGTCCATTTACTGGACAGTATTTCACATCTGGGACTTTCTGTGATCTGCACAAAGCTTTGAGATGTTACTGATGGGATGCAAGAACCATAATTTCATAGGGTGGTTCCAGAAAGATGTTTTCAGATACCATAGTTCATGAGTTTTGTGATTCTTCTATTATGCCAGGCGTGTGATGTAGTCTTTGGGGCAAAGTTGAGTTGTCCAGAAATGATTGTGGTTATTTTGGAGCAAGGGACTGATATTAACCTTAAATCCTTTGAAAGTTGTCCTTAACTCTCCTATGTTTGGGAAAACTTTTTATAAATTAGATTCCCTCACTGTGTCAGAAAGTATAGTCATTTTTAAAACTGATGCCAGGTCATTGACTGCTTTTCTCTGCATACGAAGAATGCATATTCTTCATTGTTCTACCTTGTTTGCTGAAAGAGGCATCAATCACAGCTCAAGATGTGGACCTTGAGCTGATATCTTGGACCTTTTAAAAACTTTCCAACCTCAACCTTGGAGAGGATTGTGTAAGAAAATTCTAAGATTGTCATCATAGGAAGTTGAATAAATGTTTGATCTGTTTTCCTTAGCTTAGGTGTCTGTTAACCAAGAGAAATTGGATTTTTCTCATGTCCAATGAAATAGTCATTATGTAGTAGTTCTTCTTTCAAGTGAAAGAGAGCACATGGTGATCACTATCAATGGTGGTGATCACTATCAATGGGGAAATTTTGATTGTTGTGTAGCTCTGACTGCTGCTGCTGCTGCTTATCATCATCATCATCATCATTGTTATCATATACAGTCCAACCTCTGTATCCATGGGATTGATAATTGCAACTTCATTTAGCCACATCTGGGGGAAAAAGTTCTCTAGGCATCTGGAGATCCTCCAGCATGACTCTATGGTCAACATCCAGCAGCAATATAGCATTCACCATTATCCATGGTTTTCATTATCCATGGTATGTCTAGGAACATATCCCCTGCAGATACAGGGTTCAGACTATTTATATGGCACATATCAGTGTTTATGGTGCTTTATAAGTAAAAGAAGAAAAAAACAACAACAGCCAGCTCTGACACACATACACATAAATTAGCTCAATAGAAATACAAAAAACGTTGTGTTATAATATAAAGCAAACTGTCAAACATGTGTAACCAACACATGCAAGCTTTATTACAGTATTAAACAAAAATTCAAAATCTTTGGAAAACAAGAATGTTTTAAATTGAGATTTAAAAGCTATAGGTGGTGGAGCAGTTTGCAGGTGTTGAGAGGGAACAATGAATTAGAGAGGCTAATGTCTGAACAGAAGGAATTAGAAGTTTTTTTTCTCAGGATAATTTCAGTGCTAATTGGACCATCTCAGTCTATCCTCTTTTACTATAAATCTGCATTTGCAACTGACAAATTCTCTTGTTGAAGTACCGTATTTTCCTGTGTATAAGACGACCCGACGTATAAGACGACCCCCCATTTTCCCAATCAAAATATAGAGTTTTAGCACCTCTATCCTCCTTATCCTTATACCCAGCGTATAAGACGACCCCCCCACTTTAACCACAGATTTTGCAGGTTAAAAAGTAGTCTTATACGCAGGAAAATAAGGTAGTTATTTGTTGTCAAGTTGACTTTGTCTTATGGTCACCTTCTGAATGAGAGACCTTCAAGAAACCCTGTTTTTGATTGTCCAGCTCAGGTCTTGAAAACTCAGGGCAGCTGAGCTTCCTTGATGGAGTCAATCCATCTGTAATGTAAGAGATTATTGCACAAGTTTGAAAACGTGACTTACCTCTCCCGAATTCAAGTAAAATTCAGGCTGTATCTGGATCCTATTGCATGGCTTTTGTCACCAAATCCGCCATCTGAATGCAACCCGAGTGCAGCCTGGCTCACTTAACTCACTTTGCAGCTCCTAACTTTTGAAAAATGCCCCCGAAATGCATTAAGTAAGCCAGGCTGCATTCAGAAGGTGGATTTGGTGACAAAGGCCATGGTATAGGACCGGGATGCAGCCCGAACTTTACTTGAATTCGGGAGTGGTAAACTGCATTTTTATGTTTGTGCGATAATCTGTGTAGTCTTCTTCTTATCCTGCGGCCTTCCAGTTTACCAAGCATTATAATTTTTTCCAGTGTTTTCCCATGATATGGCCAAAATATGATAACCTCAGTTGGGTAATTTTGTCTTCTGGGAGAGTTTATACTTGATTGGCTCTGGGACTCATTCATTTGTCTTTTTGGCAATGTGGGATCCATAAAACCCTTCTGGAGAAAAGTTCTTCTGCCCCCTGAAATTATTTTGCAAATGTTAATAACCCTAAATTGTTAATAATAGCAGGCTTCTTTAAGATAGTGGTTCCCAGATGTGCCCCAGCTAGGATGGATTATGTGTGTTGTAGTCCGACACATCTGATAGTTGTCAACCTGGTGAAGGTTGTATGATGAGACGCAGATGTTACTATGGGAAAACCATGTTTAGGGTTTTCATTCAATGTTGTGGTTTTTGTTCAGAAATAAAAATCTGGTCAATTGTGATTCAGGCCTGGCAACTAGAAATATCAGAGGAAGTAAGGATTATACTTTCAGGCTGGCATTGTCATTGAGAATGTGGGGGTGTTTCATCTCTTTATTTTTATTTTGCGGAGGGTGGAGGCATGTTTTCATGTCTGAAAGAATGCTAAATCCAGGGTTATTTCTGAATGCAGCCGAGGCCTGAGCAGAGCACTTTATTAAGACACTCCACATCATTTTTTGAGGAAGCAATTATGCAAGATTTCTGACTGTGATGACTCTGTGATAAGCTAGAAATAGAACATGATAGCTTAGAATTTCGTAATTGGTTTTTGGGGAAAGCGTGTGGGTGTCTTTGAGTGGGAGGTGGATTTTTGCAAATAGAGGGGCAGCAATTGTGTAAATGGGAGTCGTTTATGATGAAATACTGTGCGCTCTTCCCAAAAAGAGTAGAGACCACAGAACACAATCAGATTGTCATACGAATAGACACACACTGGACTGCACTATTAGAGAGGCAAAAGGGCAGATGTATATGGATTTCTCCATATTGGAGTGACTTGTGTAAGTGGCAGCGATAGTGGGTGGCACAAAAGGATGCATTGTAAACAGCTGCCTGGAGGGCTCTGAATCTTTCAGATCTGGGAAGATCTGGAGCAAGGATTATAAGGATTAAATGGGTATGGATTATGGGGTGGTAAAGCTATGGTATTCCCCATCACCATGTATGGATGTGAGAGCTGGACACTGAAGAAGGTAGATAGAAAGAAGATCAACTCATTTGAGATCTGGTGCTGAAGAAGAGGATAATGTGGACAGCCGAAAAACAAACAAAATGAACAAATGGGTCCTTGAACAAATTAAGTCTGAACTATCCCTGGAAGCCAAGATGTCGAAACTGAGGCTGTCCTACTTTGGCCACATCATGAGAAGGCACAATTCATTAGAAAAGACACTAATGCTAGGAAAGGTAGAAGGTAGTAGAAAAAGAGGGAGGCTGCATGCCAGATGGATAGACTCAGTCAAGGAGTTCATGAACCTGAATCTACTGGACTTTAGTAGTGCTGCCGCTCTGAATAGTGAGGTTTGAAGATGTCTCATACATGGGTTCTGCATGAATCGAGGTTAACTTGAAAGCAGTTAACAACAACAACAGCAGCAGCAACAACAACAAGGGTGGTATACCACATGTTTGGTGTAGAATTGACCTTACATCATCCAGACAGTTTGCACCAGAACTGAGAATTGGACCCTGTGACATCCAGTCAGGTTGTCATGAGGATTGAGGGAGAACATGGTATTTGGCCCATGCAGACACAGCCTTAGTAGTTTGTTGTTGTCACTGTTGGTAAAAGAGAAGCCACCTTTAACCGTCTAGCCTTCCTCCAGGAAAAAGAGCCATTCATGCCATTTGTTGCTTTGCTTCTGCTGTTGTTAAACAGCCATTTCCCTCATGGCTGGTGGCATGTTTTGTGTATGTGTGAAAACTGAGTCATTCGCAACCTCATAGGGACACCACAGTCCCCTTTCCTTCGCTCTCTGCAAAGTGGTGAATTTCACAGGTGTAAACCTCATGCTTCCATAGAAGCAAGGTCTACTTTT